TGAAAATTCAAATTGTTTAATTTCATTTTTGAAATTTTGAATTTTTTTTGGAATTTTGAGTTGATCAATTCAGCAGAATTGATAATGCTATTGCTTTAGGGCATACCACAAGGTGATGAATAAAAGGTGAACATTAACAAATTATTTTAAATCACAAATATCATCCTCATCAACTTTAATTCTAAAAAGAACTGTACTGAATTATGAAAATGCATGATTTACATTATTAAAATCTTTGAATGAAAATAGTACAAGATAAGTTTTTATTCATTTTTAATTAGATTTAAACGAAAAACTACTCCATATTAAAATTTAAGTCGAGAAATCGTATTTTGTTCTTATTTGTTAGCATTTTGTAGACATTCTAATCTTGAATTAATTTGTTACATGATATTATTAACAAATTTAACTGAAAAAATATGTTAATATGGAATAAACCATGATTATATAAGCTATCAATGCTATATATACATATGTAAAAGATTCATATTAACTCAATTAACAAAAATGATAGATTTTCATAAAGGTTCAATCTAGGTTCGTCCGAAAATTTTGATTTTTATATAGAAGACATAGTTTCATATACATAATTAAATTTTCAAACAAATTTGATCATACCATTTATTAAGCAGGATAGTATATTAATTACTATCAGTATAAAAATATAAAAATGATTATATTTAATTATTGCATAATTTAGTCAAAGAGTTATAAGCCTCAAGTGATCGTTATCACCTTCAATGCACGTATACTTTATTGATTCATAGATATTTAATCTATGTTTGACATGTTGTTGTCGTCATTCGTTTTGTTCCCATTCTTCCTAAGTTAGAATTAGAGAATACACCATCCACATCATCTAATTTGGTCCTCAGCGATAGATTGGTTCATTTTGGAGGAGTCCCATCAGACAGTTTTCGAGCACCAAATATCAAATTTTAATGTATACAAATCTTTAGTGATTTATAATCAGTTCCTAAGTTAGCAATTTAAATAGGTATTGAAAATCGAAATTGTGTGAATTACTCTCAAATAACTCTCACTCAATCAATATATTTTTATTATCGGGTGTGTTATTGAAGTGGGTAATATATGAAATGAAAATTTAGATGATTTATAAATTGAATGCTTCTTAATGAGTTTTTAAAAAGAATAAATTTAATTAATTTTACATACATATTTTCTCTAAAAATTAGTGATTCAGCGGTTAAAATTGAAAATTGAAGTTTTCAATGAAAATATCAAAATTGACTAAAAAATTGTAATCAAATTATAATGGCATATTTAAATAGAATACTAAAGATTTTCAAAAAAATTTTATGGGAAAGTTTATCAGCTTCAATCGATATTTAAATGAGTTATGGTTTCTTTTATGTATATATCTGTTTTTTAAAATTACTCATAACAAAAAATCCAAACCGATTGAAAAGTCCGACCATTTAAATCAACAATGCGACCACATAAATCGTATCGTCTTCCCTACATTGAATTTATATTTCAGTCAATAATTCTAAAAACATATTTACTTTTTCATTCTTGTTGCAATATTAACCTTACCTGTTATAAAAAAAATCGGTTACTTTATTTTTGTGAAAGATTTGATCGAGCTTCAATATAAATAACTATGCAAATATGATGTAGATATCATTTTAATTATAAAATTTTTCTGAATCAGTGCATTCTTCGGAATGATTATTCCGGAAAATAATTATCAGATCAAAAAAAAAAAAAAAAAAAAAAGGGTAGTGGGGCTTCCAGGGGCTGCGCCCCTTCTAGCCCCTAAAAAACCTAGAGGAGAACTAAAAAATTATATAGTAAGAAATTAAAGTTTTTATTCGATAAGAACGACATCGCTATCGTTTTCTTCTTCCTCCTCCTCTTCTTCATAGTCAGTATCTGATGGCTCTTTGTCAGCCACATGACCAGCAACAAATATTGAGACAAATTGTTTCTTTGGTTTTGTTAGCAGGAACTTTTGATGGTCGTAGAACACGAATTCTACATTTTGAAAATGTTGTGCTGAGTATTCTGTGAAATGGGAAATTGGAATTGGTTCTCCCATGCCAAAACCAGCAATGGACGCGAACAAAACATCGTCTTCGACTCTTGCAGGTTTGTCAATTGCAACAGTAGTTATTATGTGGGGTTTTCCTTCACATCCTGCAAGAGATTGTACATGATAGATTGCTTTTTCTTCTCCCTCAGGAACTGAAAGTGTGAAATGGAATGAGAGTTCTCCATATTCATTTGCTTCTTCGTAATAGTTGTATGTTGTAGGATACACCAATTGAAATTTTCCTATTCTTGTTTCCCTCAGGTGTTGTCTATATTGCTTGGGAAAACATAAAATAAATTGCTCTATAGCTTGTGTTGCTATTAGATTGGTTGTAACTGGTAATTTTGAGGCGAAAAGGTCTACAAGAACACCGGGATTTTTTATGTCGTTTTCAATTGGTTTAACAGATTCTATGACTTTGTTAAACATTTCACTATAATCTGTGTTGTCTTCGACCCCCCAATTGTTAAGAAGTTTATACAACAATTTCAGTCTTTTCATGGCGTATTTTCTTTGAATGGATTCGGGTAGCGAGAGGTTACAGTCGTCGGTTTGTGTTTCGTTACTCGAATATTGTTCAAGAGAAATTAAATCTTGAAATTGTGCTCTTGTTAACATACTTGTAGAACTATGTGAAACTTGTTCTGGTGCTGGTTGTAAATCTGTTTCAGATGTTTCTGTTGTGTTTTGAGAAGAAGAAGAACTCAAATTGTTGGACAATTTGTCTTGAATTGTAGAACTATGTGAAACTTGTTCTGGTGCTGTTTGGACAACTGTATCTGTTGTGTTTTGAGAAGAAGAACTCAAATTGTTGGACAAATTGTCTTGAATTGTATGAGGAAGTTGCTTTGGTATTATAGGAGGTCGTAAGGGTTTTGAGAATGGTGAGACATAAGTTGTAGGAACTTTAACTGCAGAGGTAGTCGACGAATTGTTTGCGACACTTTTTCTTCCTTCCATTATGAAAAATAAACTGTTTTTTTCGGACTACTCATAGAAAAGTTTAAAATAAACGGTTTTTACCAACGGAGACCCCTCTATTTTTTTATTTTATTTAATAGTTACCGTTGGCAAACCGTTCCATCTCAAATATTGAATGAACTATAAACGTTTTTTGTTTTCTATATATACTTTTTTGTCCAACGGTAAAACTTTTTACACAACGGTTTTTGAGAGTCGTCGCGTTGACTTTTTTGTAGAGCACTCAAAATAGTATAACTTTGTCCGGACAAGTAAGGGTCTATCGTCGCTACAGGAAAAGTTACAGGCGTTCCAAGGAAGTATACTTTGAGAAGCCTTTTCCCCTTATAGAATGAGATAGGACGGTTATTTTACAAAACTGACAACACTTTGACCGAGTAGTTTTTTGTGCTGAACAAAAGTGTCATATAAACATCTGTCAAAAACCGCTTTTTAACTTCACTTAAAATGCCACGTAAGCTACGTAAGAATATACGTAAGAGGAAGGGAGCATTGAAACATCCAATAGTAAAACTAACACACACAACAGTTGCAACAACAAATGATGAATGACCCCACTATGTTGCAACAAATGTCAAGCAACCCTATGCTTTTAAACCGAGTTATTGGTGCACAGAGTGGAGGTTTAAGAGCGGCACTTTTAGCGAAAATGGCAGGCTATGGTGGAGCTGCAGACGGAACAGCTTATAACCCTCAAAGTCAAATGAATTTGAGTTCACTCAAAAATCAAATAACAGATGTCAAAAAGTCAAACATAGACATACAGAAACAAATAAGTGAAAACGAAAAGAAACTAGAATATGACAGACACACAAAGAAACTCAATGAGTTAAACGTAGAGAAAAAGAAGAAAGAAGAACAACTGAAAGAACTAAGTACAGAGGAATATGCGAAAAAAGTGTCAGAAAAAGCAGCAGAAGTAGCAAAAATGGAACAAGATGTTATAAATTTGAAAAACCATACTACTCAATATAAAGTACTGAAAGATGAAGAGATAAAACAAAAAGCCCTGAAGACATATATGGATAGCGATGAGTATAAAAAAGAAGTTGAAGCAAATGTAAAGGCAGAAAAACTTTTACAGTTGCAAAACCAAACCGTACAGTATGAAAACTTAGCACAAGAAAGTAAAAATAACGACGCAGCCATGCAAAAGGCAATGAAAAGCGCAGAATATATAAAAGCTAATAATGACTGGTTAGATGCCCAAGCCAACGCTAAAGCAGCCCAACTTATAGGGTCAATAAGGACAAAAATACAAGCGGATGAAGACAGTTCAAATGAAGCTTTAATGAATGCTGACTTTAAGAACGCCTTCGAAGCTCTTCATAGTAAGGTGAAACTAGTGAACGACTTCTCATCTGGAAAGAAACTGAAGTCTGAAGGTTTCGACAACGAGTTAAGAGAAGTAGCACAAAATATGACGAAAATAACAGATGCAGCAACGAGACAGGCAGTTCAAAGTGCCTATGACGCCGTTAGAGCAACTGTTGTGGAAAGTCAAGAAAAAGAGTTACAACAGACCAAAACAGACCTAGTAAATGCTTTCTTAAGAACGAAAAGTCAGGTAGGACATTATGCTGCAGATGGAACATATGTGCCAGCTGGTGGAACTTATATACCACCAAACCCTCCAAGAGAAGCACCTGCACCAGGACTACCTAAAACATTTACATCGTCACATGGACACAGACACAGGCATGCACCAAAACCAACAGTTCAAAACACTGCACCAAAACCAACAGTTCAAAACACTGCACCACAACCAACAGTTCAAAATCCAGCACCACAACCAACAGTTCAAAACACTGCACCACAACCAACAGTTCAAAACACTGCACCACAACCAACAGTTCAAAACACTGCACCACAACCAACAGTTCAAAACACTGCACAGCAACAGCCACAAACAGAGCAAGGACATAAAAGAAGTAGAGAACAAGGAAACCAAGAATTCTTAAAAATGCTTAAGGAAGACTATGGTTACCCAGATACTCTTGACTTTAGTGACAGATATAAAGAAGCTATTAGAAAGTTCAAGGAAGGAAATACTGACCCGAACCTATTTAGCTTTATGGTTCAGCACCAAATGCGATATAATTTCAAACCTGGAAAATACAAGCTCGCTAAGGGATATGATTTAATAGCATATCATCCAAATGACATGGATGAATTTACTCCGAGATATTTGGTGTCAGAGATAAATGATAATTCAACTATCTTCATGAAACGCGTAAAAAATAGAGACGGAACGAAAGAAGAAAGGGTTATGAATGCGGATGACTTAAATAGGGAACTTGTTAAAAACGGTCTCGGAATATATGAAATGCCAGCAGATGAGGTACAAGAAACTCCACAGGAAGAAGTTCAGATACAACCAGACATGGAAGAAATAGTTCAGCAACAACAGCTAGAAGAGCCTGAAGGAAACGAACAAGTCCCTCCTTTGGAAACTAACTTCACAGAACTAGATGAAGATTTGGAACAGCCGAAAAATCTTGACCCTCAACAAGAGTATGCGGAGAATATGGAATCTTTCCAAGAGTCTAAGAAAAATTCGGCTGACATAGTAGAAGAATATCGAAAAATGTTCGCCGACATACAAAAGACTCCAACATCAGATGAAAATATTCAGCATAGAATGGAAGAACTGAAAGAAAGTGTACGCAAATACAACAATCCTTTTTACTTACGACCATATAACGTTCAATCTTTGGCTGAACTCGGTGAAAATAAAAGGTTAAATTTCAACAAAACATATAGAAATGAAACATTGTTTAAAGTTCATTCAGAACCTAACCAATATGGAAACAAACCTACTTTTGTTTCTGCAGACTATGGAACTACAATGAGATGGGGTCATAAAGCTAATCCGGATAGGTGGTTCATAAACTTACAACCACAATTCCAAGAAGTTGTAGACGCAATGGAAGTGAATGGTGAACCAGATATAGCTGGTATTTTCAGCGCGGCTTTAATGCCATTGAAAGATATGAAACATGCAGATATTTTGGACCAGTATGAAATGAACATGGCTGATGGAAATATAACACCTGACGTTCTAGAACATTTATCTCAAAGAACTACACAGAACCATAGAGATGGTATATTTGGTGAAGAGTTTAGAAAGAAAGTTAGGGAGATAGAAGGAAGAGAACCTATTGTACATGACCTTGCAAACGAAAGTTTACAAAATGTCATAAAAACTTACTTTGCAGACAATGAACTGAGAAGGGATGAATATTTAAGAAAACTCAAATGGACAGTACCAAATGAAATGTTAGTATTGAAAAACATGTTCCTTGACAAAATAAAACCAACTACAGAAATAAATGACGCAAGACTGAAACATTGGGTAAAAGCTTTCCCATTCACAAAAGATATTATTGGTAACATGGAAAGAAAACCAGAATGGCTACAAAAACATATATTTGGAAACGAGCTTATTCCATATGGACAAGCTCTGTTTGAAGAGCTTGAACCGGAAACTCAGGAAAGAGTCATGCAAACAATACGCGAAGACTCAAATACAAACTATGACAAAATCTTTCTAGGATATAGGTTACCTGAGATGGGCGACCAGAGCCCAAAGGCAAAAAGGACATGGGAAATTTACAACATACTAGGTGAACATGAGGCAAAGATGCAACAACTTGAAGCAGAGGGCAAGTTACCAAAAGCGACACCAAAGAAGAAGAGAAGAGTAGAACAAAGTGAAAGTAGTGAAGAAGTAACTTCATCTAGTGAAAGTAGTGGCAATGAAGGAAAAAGAAGAGTTAAAAACTCAGTCAGGAAGAAAGTAAAGCTTGGTCGAGTGGGTTCTATTATGACACATAAATCCAACTATTCTATATTTTTACCCATATGAAATGTACGCCGCTCAGAATATAACGCCAACAGTTTTGGATGCCATGAACGGAAATGTTTCCGAATGGTATAACGAATGCGACAATGCCATTAGAAGGTCAGAAATAGTTCCTGGAACTTACGAATATACAACTGCTGTTTCTTATGGAAACGTAGGTGAGTTTGGAGAAGGTTCTTCAACAACAGTAGATATTGCTTGCGACAGGTTTCATATTATTTCTATTGACAACTCATTCTTATACGTGGAACAAGACATTGAAATAAAACCTTCTGCCAAGTTGTCTGACAAGAAAGGTTGCAATGGAATTTTCTATGTCGGATACCAATATGCTCCAGAAGTTTTCATGGGATATAAGATATATTCTAACTCTGACTTAGTTCAAACAGTAACATGGGCAAACTATGAATGGTTCGCTTTGAGAAACTCAGTACAACCACAAGCTAGAGAACAAACAGACCAGTATGCAAATATTGAGAAAATAAGAAGACTTGACCCTAACGTTCCAGGAGTTTATGTTAACCTTTCTGGACAAACTGCAGCAGCAGTAACCAAAGTAAAACTGAAACTTAGAGTTCCTTTGTCATCTTTCCTCATCTTCAGGTTTTTAAGATACTTGCCAAACTGGGCAGGAAAAATTTCTATCGAACTTACTCCAAGCAAAAATAACTTAGTCATTGCACCAACACAAGACCCATTCACTATTACAGACGTAAAGGGAACAAATCAAACGTCATTCGCCGAATTTTGCAAAGACAAAGTTGACTTAGACTTTGGTTTCTCAAACTTCAACAATGAAGTAAACTATTATTTCAATGCTGCTGGAACTGCTTGGGACCCAGTTAAGTTCACATGCGAAAAATTTGAATGCAAGAGAATAGAAAGCAGACTTGCAGTCTATATGTTGGACCCAGATATTTCAAATGCTTTAGCTGCCAAATATATTGCAGTTCCACTTATGTTCCCTATACACCAAATATCTGTCAAAGACTTTGCAGGTGAAGTTGGAAACCAAAGTGCTGACCCAGGTGCAAGAACAGATATTGCTTTAACAACTGCAATGAAACATGCAGATACTATGTTTGTACTGTTCAGACGAACTATAAATGACTATTCTTGTTTCTACAACCCCGGTATTAAATATCATATAAACATAGATGGCAAATATTATCCAAGAGAAGAATATTCTACAGTTGAGGATATGAGGTCATACAACTTGACATTAGATGCTATGAACTTTAACAACAACTTCACAACAACCATTAACCCTGAAATGCAAAGTTCTATTATGCCATATGTGAAAGTATGGACTCATACAGGAGGTCAAAAAACTCAATATACAAATGGAGACCGTTCAAACTTTTGGCTTGGCATTCCATTTGCTGACTCAGAAGACTTTATGGGTGGTATTTCAACTGTTGGTACTGTACAAATACAATATACTGGTGACAGAGACGGTCCAGATGAACTGAGAGCAAAGAAGTTTACAAAACCAATAGCACTTTTCACGGAAGATGCTCTTTTGAAGATTCGTTCGATGAAACCTGCTGGGGCTCCTCAGATTGGCATAACGACAGCTTCCATCGAGCAGATTTTGGCAGCAGGTCAGTAAGTTGTTCTTGAACTGACTTCTCTCCGTCAAATATTGACAGTACGCCAGTTTTGACATAATATTGTAAGATAAACTTACCTTTAGAAATATCTGTAAGTTTTGTTGTTATATTTTTGTCAACGTCAAGAACTTTCACCATTTCAGTTATACCAACTTTCTTTGCTTTATGAAAATATTTTGGTTCAGCAAATATTGCTATTCTATAACATTTACCATTGTTTGTATAAAGAACTATTCTGTCAATGTATTTGTATTGTTTGTGTGTGTAAACTTTGTTCTGCTTCAATTCGAAGAGATACTCGAATACGTCCATCTTTTTATTCTAAGTAAAATGTCATTTCCGAAAAATAGAAGCGTGAGTGTTTCAAAAGGTTTAATGGCGGTGGCAGATGTGAAGTTAAATTCACCAACTCAAACAAACAGTCAAAGTGTTGTTGTCAATGTCAAAGACAGAGATGTTGAAGTGGGGAAACCATACGAAGACGAAGATGGTATAACAATTGTTCCTGTAAAAGAACAACCAACATATCCTGAAGTTAGCAGAGACTTAAGTTCTGTTGCAGATATTCGAAACGACTACCAACAACTGAAAGACAAACTTCAAACTCAGGAGAAGATTTGTCAAGCTTTAAGTATAATGTTAAACTTGGTCGAACACAACCCTGTAAAAGTGAACTCATATGTCATTGCACCTCATGAAGTTTTGAAAGAACTATTGAAACTTTTGACAGAGGCAGACGATATAAACATCAAAGAAATAGAACCCGACATTAGTTGCTGTGGTGTTTCATATAATGTCATTGACAAGATATACGTTATGAAAGGAGGTGAAACGTTGAACTTAAAGTATAGTTTCCCAGACGTCATAAAAATATTTGACGACCACAACATTTCATTAAAATTTATTTGCTAAGTAAAAATGTCAAAACTTCTTGAAAGATGTTTGAAGAAAAATAATATAGACTTTATTTCATGTAAAGGACTTTACACACTTTTGAACGATATGAAAGACCCTGTTTTGTTTGTTCGTGTAGACAAAGGAAAGTTCTATGTCTTTACAAAATATTTGAACTTCTTAGACAGAGAACTTCAAGAAACGCCATGTGAAAGTTTAGATGAAGTTCTTCTCCACTTTCAGAAAAACTTTTAAATATATATAAATGGCAGAAGATATAATGGTTTATACTATTACGACTAAAAACCCTGAGTCATATAATTCTATAACAACAAACTTACAAAGTCCTCAAGGACGATATTGTAAACTAACTTAAACACAATGACGACTAAAGCCTGTTTTGCTCTTTTGACACCAGAAGACTTTATTGTTGTGAATGGTAAAAAATACTCCTTTGAAGATACTTACTCAGATATACCACCAACAGGTTTTGTTGACTTATTTAATACTTTAAGTACGGGTGTAACATGTGCTGCAACTAGAGCAGGTTTCATTATGTTTGGATGTCCGACTGAGTTTACTATAAACGATATGAGCTATAATACAAAACTTATTTCTGGTTTTTACTACCAACAGTTTCCTATAACAGGAAAAGGTGTCATACAAGGAATGTCTATTCCATTGACATTAAGCACACCAATCTTATATATTGTTTCAAACTTAGGTTCAAAGTGTTATTCGAATGTCGACAGAAACTATTATGACCAAAAGATACTTATGCGTATAAACAATACTTTCTCTGCTGGTTTGCCTATTGTTCATTCGAATGCAGAATTTTCAACCTTAGTGAACTCAAACACTTTGGCAAGTATAACGTTGACATTAGTTGACGCAAACTTTGTTCCTGTAAAACTTTTATGTCCTATGTATTTGTCAATGACGGCAGAAAGTTTCGAATTGGAAGATGCAACTGGTGAAAGTATTGTATTACAAGAACAACTTCAACAACAAATAGCTCAAGAACAACAAATGCAACAACAAAGTCAAGAATAAAAAAAATATTTTTTTTATTTTTATAAAAATGTACAGAATAGATGTTTCAGATTTTTATGACTTCCAAGCATTCAGAAATATGTGTCCATTTCGAGACTATAACAAAGCAGTCGAGAATTTGAAACGTTTAGTCATTTATGTTGACTCTGCCCCAGAATGTTATGTCATGAAAGAATGGGATGTTGTCTTTAACAAACAAAAGCAACAATAGTTTCAGAACAAGAATGTAGACAGAAACTTAAGAAAATAAAAGTCGTACAAGTTGGCATGAAGATGTTAGATGCTTGGGATATCTTATTGTCAAAGTTAGAAGATTTTTCAGTTCGAGGTATAAAGTTCTATACACCTTCTCCAAACTTCTATTCTATCTTCACTGGATATAAATACGAACAAGTAGAATGGAAAGAAAATATTATAGAAGCTTGGTTAGACCATGTCAAAGAAATTATATGCAATGGAAACGAAAGAGTTATGAGTATATCTTATGTTGGTTTGCAAACATCTTACAACATCCAAGTGCTAAAAATGAAACTGCTCTCATTATAATTGGAAAACAAGGAACTGGTAAGAACACATTCTTTACAGATATTTTGTGCAAACTGTTAGAAGGTATTCGAATCCGAATATGACAAACTTAGAAAACATCTGTGGCAAGTTTAACTCCTCAATAGAGAATATGAAACTTATAGTTTGCAATGAACTTCAAAGTATAGATACAACAAAAGTTTTGAACTCAGATGCTTTGAAGAGTCTTATAACAGACAAAGTTGGAGTTGTTGAAAGAAAATATAAAGACCAAAGAGTTTGTGAAAATGTTGCAAACTTCATTATGGTTTCAAACAATTCTGTTCCGATGAAGTTAGAAAGTTCTGACAGAAGATATGTAGTTGTCAGAACGTCAGATTCTCATATGCAAGATACAGAATATTTTGACGACTTAGCAGAAACTTTGACATCTGACTTTTACAACCACTTGTTCTCATATTTTATGACATTAGATATTTCAAAGTTCAATCCAAGACAAATTCCACATACCGAAGAGAGACAAACATTGTTAGAAGCAAACAAGAGTGTATATGAACTGTTCATAGATGAAACTGACTTTGTGTTTAGATGAAAGGTCATTGTACGACTCGTATAAACAATATTGTCAAGAATATGGTTATATGACAGCGTCTAAACGAACATTCTTGGCAAATGTCAAAAGTCTTTTAGACGTACAGAATGGTGTATATACAAAGAAAAATTTTTATGAGTAAATTTTAAAAAAAATATTTTTTTT